AGAGAGAGAGAGAGAGAGAGAGAGAGAGAGAGAGAGAGAGAGAGAGAGAGAGAAAGGACGCGATCAATTTTGTATAATAATAATGTATGATATATCTTGATATACTTTTCTTTTTCGGAAACGATAGAACAAACCAGACAACGTCTGGGTTACCTACTACGTCGATCGATCGATAATGCAAGAATTGCAAGAGAACAAGTATATAGATAGAGAGTCAAAAGAGAGGGAGGGGAATAGAAATAGACGACGAAACCGTCCTGGTCGTAGTCGTAGTCGTCGTAGTCGTTTCAAACTTTCATACGAAACGACGACCAATGTTAACCGTCTGCAGAGCAAAACTATTCTCGTTCCTTACAGGTGTCACGACCCAGATCTCCTCTCTCTCTCTCTCACTCTCTCTCTCTCTCTCTCTTTTTACCGATTGTACCACGAAATAGGTTTTATCCGAATAAAGTTTTGAAAGTTCGGATCAGTCGGTCCTCTTAGGAAAATAGGCAAATAGGGCAAAACGTTTGGACGGGAAGGCAATGCACTGTTGACGATTACCGATTAACGCCCACCAACCAACTGGCCCAATCGGCAAGTTACACGAACACGGCCCGACGTCTACACTTCTCGACATTTAACACTCGACGTCTAACTCCGTTGGTAGCATCGTTTATAATCTTCCTACGGAGCTCGATCTCTTGATGCTTGCGCGTATTCGAATGCGTACGACGCTCATTCGTCGCCTCCGTCAATTCATCCTTCTATTTATTCTCCGTCGTCAACCTTGATTATGTTCTTCCTTTCTTTATTTTTTTCTTTCTTTCTTTCTTTCTTTCTTTTTTCCCCTCTCCCATCAAACTATAAGAACTTATTTCAAGTTTTCTCGAATTCTTTTTCTGTTTCTTTTTTTTCTTTTTTGAAACGTTTCGCGCGATTAAAAGATCGAATATTTTTTTCAATATGCAAAAATTATGATCATCTTCGATGCAGCAGGACGAACGGAAAAAGAAAATTCTTGGATCGAGAGAACACACAGACTCTCCCTCTCTCTCTCTCTCTCTCTCTCTCTCTCTCTCTCTCTTTCTCTCTTTCTCTCTCTTGTTCAGTTACATTTGTTCTACGATAGACATTGGGCTTGGACAGACAAAACGGTGCCGACAGACGTACAATAACATATTGGGAATTCGCGGGTTCTCCTTCCGGAGGAAGAAGAAGAAGAAGAAGAAGAAGAAGAAGAAGAAGAAGAAGAAGAAGAAGAAGAAGAAGAGGAGGTGGAGGAGGAGGAGGAGGAGGAGGAGGACGGTGGTAGTGTGCCAGACGGTCTGTGCCAGTTCGAAAGTTTGTCCCGGTTTGCCCGTCTGGCATTACCGGAGACGAGGGTGTAAGAGGTGGTAGCAGCACGTGTACACCACTACTGTGGTCCGTAGTAGTCGTAGTCGTCGTCGTCGTCGCACCTTGACAGGTTGAATGTGGGCTCCCATGCGGGGAGACAGCATATTGGGTTCGAAACTTTGCTCGTTTACAACGCCGCCGGTGTGTCTGCCGTCGCCTCCGGTCGCTACCAAGAGCCGTCCTAGCTCTCTGAAATAAACGTCACAGACTTCTCTTTGCTTTAACTCTGTCTCACCCTTTCCTCCCTTTACTCTCTCTCTCTCTCTCTCTCTCTCTCTCTCTCTCTTTCTCTTTCTCTTTCGGTATTTCAACCGACAACTCTAATTCTACATTCTACATTCTATCCCTCTAACATCGTGTCTCATCTCATCACAGAACAATTTTCACCTTACACGAGTTTTAAATCAAAACGTTAGATTCTCAACACTCGGAATCCCTTACTACAATTAATGTTTTCTTGATAATCTCACATAAAAGACAAGAGGGAAAAGAAAAATAATAATAGTTTATCTATGCACATCTGAACAAGATTAGCTCGGTAGGGTTTCTTCTTCTTCTTTGCGCGTGTGTGTGTGAGAGAGAGAGAGAAAGAAGACAGTAGACGGAACTAATCGAGAGATCGTTCGGGAGATTACTACGAATGCGAATGGCAAGACTAGAGGAGAGAGAGAGAAAGAGAGAGAGAGAGAGAGAGAGAGAGAGAGAGGAG